ACCAAAAAGGAAATTTGTAGCTCACTGCTGGAGGAATGGGCAGGTACAAAGCAATTTAAAATTGCAAGTTAAATCCTGCCTCTCTTCCCCCAGGAGCCTGACTCAGCCGTTCTAATGCATGACTGTGCTGAAATAACTGATGAAGTTTATTCCAGCAGAATTAATTTACAGGAGCATGGTCTAGAAGAAGCAGATGGGAGTCTAAATGCAGATGGAAGCGATTATATGGACAAAGGAAACAGAAAGTCTGGATATGCAGTTGTGACTCTTGAAGGAATGGTAGAGAGCAGAATTTTACCGCTGGGAAACTCTGCTCAAAAAGATGAAGGCACTGAAACTGTCACATGAAAAGAGAGTGAATGTGTATACCAACTTGAGGTGCATTTTCCTAATTTTGCACGCACGTGGTTCAGTCTGGAAGGAAAGAGGACTATTAGCCTCCAATAAAGAGGAAATTAACTATGCAGCAGAATATTTATAATTACTAGAGGTTGCCCAGGTACCTTTACAGGTGGCAGTTTTGCACTGCCCGTGGCATCAGGAAGAGAACACTGAAGTGGCCAGAGGAAACAATCTTGCTGATTGAGCAGTGAAAGAGACTGCTAAAGGAACATTTACAATGCCCTTGGTACCTGTTCCAGACTTGTCACAATTTGACCTTAAATATTTGACTGCATACTTAGAGAAAGCTAAAAGCTTGGGTTTTGAACCACCTATATTAACTCATGTCTCACAGGTCCTGGAGTTTCTGAAACCAGGACAATGTGCCAGAAGAACAGTCTATGTGCCAGAAGAACAATCCTAAGACAGATCCCCATCAGAAAAAAGAAACAGGGGAAACGATACCAACGGCAGTGCCTGCTTCATGACTGGCAAATAGGCTTTACTCAGATGCCAGGGGTCTGAGGATGGAAATACTTGTTAGTCTTTGTTGATACCTTTCAGGATGGGTAAAGGCCTATCCCACTAGAACTGAGAAATATTCAGAGGTAATGAAAGCCTTACTGAAGGAAATAATTCCTTGCTTTGGCCTACTTGGCAGCATCCAGAGTAAAAATGGATCTGCTTTTGTTTCAGAAATTACACAGAAGGTCAGTAAATTTTTAGGAATCAAGTGGAGACTCCATACAGCATGGAAACTTCAGGCTTCTGGAAAGGTAGAGAAGATGAATCACACCTTGAAGAAAAATGTAGCTAAATTGTGTCAGGAAACTCATCTCCAAGTGAGTTTCCAAAGTGGAAACTCATCTCCGCTTTGCCCTGCTCAGGAAAGGGCGGCCCTTTGAAATGGGATTGAATTGAGTCCTTATGAAATTGTGTATGGGTGACCATTTCAGAATATGATTGGGATGGTATATCTGTATGCAGATTAAGAAGTGAAGTGAAAAACTATGTACAGTATTTAAGTCAAATCTTTGCTGTGACTAATGAACTGAGCTGTATTAGAGACCTCTCCCCTATAGGTTCGATACATTCCTTTGAGCCTGGAGACAAGGTGCTACTCAAGACTGGGAAGACAGGATCCCCAGAAAGCCAACTAGAAGAAAAGTGGACTGGAACCTATGTCAACTTATTTTATGTCTTGTAGGTGTTTGTACTCCTCTGGAAAGACCATTGGGGACCTATGGTATTTTGTAAAGAATAAGGAAATGTTTTCTTTAAAAGGCTAAAGTTGCCTCAGCTGGAAGATGTGCAACTTATTTAAACTGTACTAAAACTGTTTTAGATAAATTGCAATACCACCACTAATGTATCTTATGTTGTTTTAGTTTGTAAACTAATCTGATAGAAAAAAGATAATTAAAAACTAAGTGGGGGTAATAATAGGGGAACTCCAGTTAAAGATTTTAGCCTTAGGTGATAGGCTTAAGTGACTAATGCATGCGGAAAGTTGTTATTCCTGGAACTGGAATGCATGACCACATGACTCCAGGAGGTCCACAAGCAATTCAATCTTTGTACCCCAGGGTGTCTGCAAGCTACTGAGCCAGTATCTGAGCCGTTGTGTTCAGGGAGGGAATGCCCTTGATACAGATAAAGAATTGTTGATCAACTGATAAAGAAGTACTAGAAAATTGCTACAGAATGCTACTTTTATGCAATTAATCTTTTCCCAAACACTTACCCACCCTTTCTTCTCCTTATAAAAAAGTTGGCTTGAAAAGAGATTTTATGATGGTTTTCAAGGATACTTAACCTGCTCAGATTACTGGCTGTCTGACAAAAGCTCCCATACAGATTCAGTTTTTTTCTCTGCTTATTGGTTCTGTTAGTGACGAGCAACATGAATGCTGGCTTTTCTGGTTTTAATAAGAAGGGTAGCTGTATTCATATGTATTTCAAATGTGTGCAGAAGGTTGTATATATAGAAGCTGACTAGTCAAACATGTGGATTAATTTATTGATTCTTAGCTTGAATTCATCATTTGTTTGTTTTATGACAATAGACATGGACCCTTCAAGTTTTTTTTTTTTTTTTTTTGGGCCAGTAGCACAATGTTAAACTTTGTGAGTAGAGAGTATAGAGTGAAAGGGTTAACCCTCCCCTACCCCCTCCACCTGGTTTCTGTTTATCCTCTTGGCAGGGTCCTGCAGTGAGGGAGCCTTCTCCTGTGAGCAGGGCACCTGCACCATGTTCCTGCAGCGAAGTGGCCAGCAGCACCCAGAGTACAGCTGCTTCCACCAGTGTTCCCATGTTTAGGTGGTTTGTGAAAGAGTGTCTCCAGTGAGATACTTAGCTTGTCGACATCTTTTTCCAGCACCACAGAGAATGGTTGTGTGGTGTAGAAGAGGATCAGACTTATCTCTACCCTTTCAGGGGTGTCCAACCCATGGCCCACAGGCTGCATGCAGCCCAGGATGGCTATGAATGTGGCCCAACACAAAATCACAAATTTACTTAAAACCTTTTTCTTGTTCATCAGTTTTCACTAGTGTTTGTGTATTTAATGTGTGGCCCAGATGTGAAAAGTTTGGACACCCCTTTACCTAGCTGTTCTAATATCAAATAGACATGAGACAGATTAGCAAGACAAAAGGACCAAATTGAATACATACATATGTATGGAAACCCTGCACACATGAGAGTCAGAGACCCCCATGTGCAGGAGAGGTTCAGAGACAGAAAGGAAACATGAACCTGTAAGACATCTGAGCTGGGGGCGAGATACAATGACTTGGGGGTTTCAGAGTGCCGTTGAGATGACAAATAGAGCAAACTTCTATTCAGTAAGTAGCAGTTTGCCCTGTTCTATACATAGGTCAAAAGATATTATCTCTGCTAATCTCTCTTTATGGGCAAGGGCCCTAGTTCAAGTTCTTCTAGGTAGTTAAAGAGAGGGGCAGAAGTTTCTAATGAGTCTGAAGCTAAAATTGCCTTGAACTCAAAGCAATCTGCATACTACTGAGGCATACTTTGGGTGGCTCATTCTGAAGTCCCACACTGGCAAGTTCTAGGCGGTGGATTTCCAGCCTGTTTCACTGGTGGTGTCTCTGCCATTCAGGAAGACACAACTGTGTCTTGTCCCCAAGAATTGGCTTCGACTCTGAAGTGAGAGTAGGGAACTCTTCCTTGTACATTGTATCCTAGTGTTTAGTGGGTAAGTGCACTAAAACATGAGTATAAAAGGTAAAATTAAAATTCACCCTTGCATTAATTTTTTAAGGCTGTGATAACAAAATGCCATAGACTGGGCGGCTTAAACAATATAAAATCTTTTATTCTGCAAAGTTTTGGTGTACACGTGACTGTCCAACTGACTGAGTCCCCCAGCCAGGGGCCTAGATTTTTTTCACAAAGGTAGTTGCAAAATACCATGTTATTATAAGAGATGAAAAAGAGTTGTTGACAGAGGGAGATCATTTTGGAAATGTATAGAAGTGACAATTTTATCATGTTTTTGGAAAACACTGTTGCGGAGTTTGGGAGAAAAATGATAGATTATGGAATCTGATCTAGCAATGGCCAGGGAAACAGGAATACATGCCAGGAAAGTTGGCTTATTCTTTAAAGGAAATTTCAATAAAGATATGAATCAGTCCTTATACTTAGAATATATATAGTTACATTTTCTGAGTCTGCAGCCTGATGTTATTTGAGAATTTATAATCTTTCAATATTTCGATGCACATAATTCACATAGCAACAGGAATAGATTTCTTAAAGCACACCGGGTTTCTAATGACAAATCAACCAGATTTCTAATGATAATGTGGGTCAAACTGTTTTCCATTTCATGGAAGTTTTCACTGTTTGCTCCTTTATCATTGAGCATCAGTTCTTTACCTTTTATAACAGAAACCTGTACTGAAAGAAGTTTCCACATTTTGACTGTTGGTGCTGTCAGTTCATTGGGAATAGCAAGGTCATGGGCAAGACTAGCTTAGAGAAGCAGAGCCTGAGATAATAGCTATTCAAAATATTGAATGATTTCTCTTTTATTTTGGTAATTGATTTACATGTTTCTTTTAGAAAGAGTTTTCCTTCCTAATAGACAAATGAGGATGGTAGCTTTAGCTGAAAAGGAATGTTTTATATTTTCTTTGCCCAAGAGAGTGAATCTTGGTGCTTTCCTGATTTCGAACATGTAAACCCAGGCCACTGATGAATAAACACAAACAGTGTCTACCTCATTCCAACTTAATGACCCAGTAATGTTGACCCAGAGTTATAAATCTTGATCTTTACATTCTTATTGTGCATGCAGTCTCTCACTTAAGGCCCAACTTGTTTGCCTATTAATGCCTTCACACATCTGAGTGCTACACAGGCACAGGGTAAGTGAACATTTAACCAGCAAGTTCAGCAGTTAGAGATGTGACCACAAGATGGTAGTGCAACTCTGCTCATGCGGAACATACAGAGGGTTCATTTTAGTGGATTCTAAATGAATAGGCTATGGCAGAAGCACAGTCTTTTTCTTATTGGCTGGATAGACAGTGTGAGAAATCACTATGACTGTTAGAGAAAAGAAGGGATAGCCTGATAACAGAAGTAGCTCTGTTGGCTGGAGACTGCAAATCTATAACTGATCTTAATTAGGAAGAACAGCGAAGATGTCTACTGGAGCTATATTTATATGCTTTTGGCTGCAGCTAAACTGTGAGTTGAGGAAACTGGGAGACTACATTAGTGAATATTTCTTAGAAGTCAAGGAAGAGATTGACTTTATTCAGGTTTCCTCTAGCTACTATTGAAAAGGAGAAGTAAATTCTGCACTGTAATAATCTGGCAAATCTTTCTCTCACTTTTTTTTTTGCATAGGGTTCAGTCAAGGAGAGCAAGTGGATCAGCATCCTTCTACCCTGAGTGTCCAGGAGGGAAACACATCTGTCATCACCTGTTCTTATTCAGACAGTGCTTCAGACTACTTTCCGTGGTATAAGCAAGAAGCTGGAAAAGGTCCCCAGTTCATTATACACATTCGTTCAAATGAGAATGAAAAGCAGCATGAAAGACTCACTGTTTCATTGAATAAGATGGCCAGACATTTCTCCCTGCACATCGCAGCCACCCAACCTGGCGACTCAGCTGTCTACTTCTGTGCAGCGAGTGCACATTGCTTCTTAGCACGTACAACCTGTACACAAACCTGTGAGTGGAGCAGCTCCCTCTCCTTTGGGACAGACATTCAAAAATAGCACTTGTGAAATCGTTTGTCTGCAAGTGGAAACTAATATGTTCTATGTTAAAAACATGTAATAAGAAGATTATTTTTAAGATGACCAAGAAGGTGTTAGAACATTTTGTTAGATGACAGTTTCTTCTTCTTCTGCAATATAAAGCTCTTTTACATTATAGTTGAAATAGAATATTATATTAATTTCAGGTATACAACATAGTGATTTGAGATTTATATACCTTACAAAGTGATCACCATCAGAAGTCTAATAACTAACCATTTGTCACTGTACAAAATTACTGCAATATTATTGATTATATTCCCTATGCTGTACATTACATCCTCATAACTTATTTATGTTATAAGTTTGTACCTTTTAATCCCTTTCAACTTTTTTCCATTCAAGTTTTTCAAGATAATTTATTGAAGACTTTTCCCCATTGTATATTCTTGCCTCCTTTGTCACAAGTTTAATTGATTATATTAGCATGAGTTCATTTCTGGGCTCTCCTGTTCCACTGATCTGTTTTCTTTTTCTTATCAGTTTTTATCATTACTGTATTGTTTTTATTACTATATCTTTCTAGTATAGTTTTAAATTAGTTAGTGTGTGGTCTCCAACTTCAATTTCATTTACTTCTGCTCTGGTCTTTATAATTTTCTTCCTTCTACTAACTTGGGCTTTATTTATTTTTATTTTTCTAGTTCTTTCATGTGTAAGGTTAGATTATTTGAGATTTTTCTTATTTCCCGAGGTATGCCTGTGTTGCTATAAACTTCTTCCTCAGTACAACTTTTGCTTTGTACCATAGATTATGTAACATTGTTTCCATTTTCATTTGTGTCAAGAGATTTTTTATTTCCTCTTTGATTTCTTTGTTGACATATTGGTTGTTTGGTAGCATGTTGTTCAGCTTCCACGCGTGTTTTTTTCCAAGTTTCCTATTATAATTGATTTCTAGTTTCATGCCATTTTGTTCGAAGATGCTTGATATGATTTCTTGAATTTATAGACTTGTTTTGTGACCTAACATGTTATCTACCCTGGTGAATGTTATGTGTGCCTAAAAGGAATATGTATTCAACCAATGCTTTTGGTTGAAATGTTTTGTACATGTCTGTTAAGTGCATCTAGCCCTATGTGTCACATAAGGACAATGTTTCCTTGTTGATTTTGTCTGGACAATCTACCCATTGATGTAAGTGAGGTGTTTAATCACTGTATTAGCATCAATCTCTCCCTTTATGTCTGTTACTATTTGCTGTATATATTTAGTTGAGCCTATCATGGGTGTATAGGTGTTTACAAGTGTTATATCCGCTTTTTGGATTGACTCCATCATCATGTCATACCCTTGAATCTTGTTAGAGTCTTTGTTTTAAAAGTCTGATTTGTCTAAGTATTGCTACACCAGCTTTCTTTGCATTTCTTTTTTGCATGGGAAAGCTTCTTCTGTCCATTCACTCTCAGTCAGTCTATGTCTTTTGATTTAAAGTGAGTCTCATATAGGCAGCATATGTGTGGAGTTTTTTTCATTTGTTCATCCACCCTGTGTTTTTAATGGAACATTTAGTTTATTTACATTTAACATAATTATTGATAGGTACATATTTGTTGGCATTTTATAGTTTTCATATTAGTTTTATAAGAGGTTGGTCTACTACCTCTACTATATGTCGGTCTTTACTAGTGATATTTTTCCTTTTGTATATTTTCTTTAAAAATTATATTTTATTGATTATACTATTACAGTTGTCCCAATTTTCCCCCTTTGCCCCCTCCACCCAGTAACCCCCAATCCCTCAGACAATCCTCTCACCACTGTTCATGTCAATTTCTAGCTTTGTTTTTTTCTTTTCTGCTTAAGGAATTCCCTTTAACGTTTCTTGTAATGACAGTTTAGTGATGATGACCTTCTTTAGCTTTTACTTGTCTGAGGAACTCTATCTCTCCTTCAGTTCTGAATGATAACCTTGATGGATAGAGTATTTTGGGGTGAAGGTTTTTTCCTACTTCGTGTTAAATATGTTGTGCAAATTTCTTCTGGTCTGCATAGTTTCTGCTGAAAAATCAGCTTAATAGTCTTAGGAGGGTTTCTTTGTAATGACTCATTTTTCTCTTTTTGGTTTTAAGATTCTCTCTTTGTCTTTTGACATTTTAATTATAGTGTGTTTTGATGTGAGTCTCTGGGTTCATCTTGTTTGGGCTCTTTGTGCTTCCTGGACTTAGATATCTGTTTCTTTCACCAGGTTAGGGAAGTTTTCAGCCATTATTTGTTCAAACAGTTTTTTCATCCTTTTCTCTCTTTCTCTCTTCTCCTTCTGGGACCCTTATGATACAAATGCTCATACACTTGTTGTTGTCCCTTATACTATCCTAATTATTTTAATTTCTTTTTTCTTTTGTTCTTCCAATTGGGTACTTTCTAATATTTTGTCTTCCTGATCATTGAGCTATTCTTCTCTGTCACCTTATTTGCTGTTAATTCTCATTAGTGTATTTTTCATTTCACTTGCTGTATTCCTTAGTTCTGATAGGTTCTTTAAAAATTTTTTTATTTCTTCATTAAAGTTCTCACTGAATTTAGCCACTTTTCTGCAGAGTTTGGTGAGCATTTTTATGACTATTACTTTGAACACTTTATCTAGTAGATGGCTTACTTCCATTTGGTAATTCTTTTTCTGGGGTTTTGTCTTGTTTTTTTTTTCTTTGTTCAGAAAATGTGGCATTATTTAGAAAGTGTAATTTTTGTGTCCAGTGGTGTAATTCTCCCCTTGTCACTAGAGCAAGGTGTTCCAGATGTGTTCCTGTGTGAACTAGTGTAAGCTTCTCTTGTGCTAAGGATGCACTGGCAGATGAAGCTGGACCCTGGCCTGGATGTCTGTGAAGCTGGCCACAATTGTTACAGGGACTCTGGTGTGCAGGACAGCCCCCTGTGTGACTGGCTGGTGGACTACATTTGCTGATAGTCCACTGGCATGTAGGATAGGCCTCTGATGAGGCTGGCTATGAGGCCTGGCCTTGACAGTGTATTGGTGTTAACTGAGGCCACCCAGTGACTCTTTCAGGGCAATAGCTGCTTTGGAGGGGTGCCAGCCTGGGTGGATCCTCAGGAAAATGCCATGGTGAAGTGAACAGCATTAGCAAGGTTAAAGGAGAATGTCAGAAATGGTGCCTACCAGTCTTAGACCAGCTAGGTGGAAGGAGAGTGAAGAAAGGGGAAAATGGTGCCAACCCATAATTATGTCCCTGGATAAAGTTCCAACAGATCCCTGCCCTTCCAGCACATGCCTTAAAATTAGTCAATGTATCACCTTCACATATGACTGAGGTGTTTTCAAATTGCTAACTCTGCATTGGAACTCAGAAAGAGTGTAACCTTTGTTTCCTACAACCCTTTGGCCCTCCCAGACATAAGTCTTACTGATTTTCAAAGCCAGATGTTATAGAGGCTCCTCTTCATGGTGCAGATTCCTCTAGGCTGGGGCTCAGACTCACTCCTTGCTCTTCAGGAGTAACACCATGGTTGTCATATCCCTTCCACTTGTAGGTCATTGCACAAGGAGTAGGGGGTAGGGTGGGTCCTGACTAGATTGAATCTCAGTGTGGCTTTTTCTTTATATTTGCAATGTAGAAAATCTGTCCTGCTAGTCTTCAGGACATTCTCAGAGATATCTGTTCCCTATATAGCTGTAGTCTTGATGTCAATAAGGGAAGGTGAGCTCAGGATCTTTCTAATCCAGCGTCTTGAACTTGAAGCCAGGAGCAGTCGTGATGCTGATTTAGTTTGTTCATGAAATACTGTTTATTGTGGTTGGTGCACTCTTTCTACAACAACCTTAACAGATTCTTAAAGGAAGTTAGTGATGTTTTATTTTGAAATTTAGGCTTTAAAGAAGACTTTATATTTGTTATTCAGATTCTCTCATATAAACAAATCCTAAGTAACAATATTACATGCCTAAATACAGATGAGATTTTAACTCTTGGGTTTCAAAAATTGCATGTTATTTTTTGCAGACTATAAAACATTACATGCTAAATATAGAAAATATGTAAAATATAAATATTTAAAATCAATAATTCTGCATTTTGATAATTTATTGCTAATATTTGGTGTACCATCTTCATTAAATTATAGTGTAATTAAGATTCTGATATTCGAACTTAATATTGTGTTCCCAAATTTGTTTTCTCCTCTAATACCTGCATTTTATTGTATTTTGCCATGTACAATGAGCACTTTTTTGTCCAAAAATTTTTAAAAGATTTTATTTATTTATCTTTACAGGGGAAGGGAAGGAGAGAAATATCAATGTATGGTTGCTTCTCATGTGTCCCCTGATGGGAACTGGCCTGCAACCCAGGCATGTGCCCTGACTGGGAATTGAACCGTGATCCTTTGATTCGCAGGTCCGCTCTCAATCCACTGAGCTACACCAGCCAGGGCTTTTGTCCAAATTTTTGAGGGAAAAATGGATGCATAGTATATATGGGTAGTACTAATTCTGTATCTATAAAATGTTTTTAATTCTTTTAATTATTTGTTACATAAAATTTCTTATACCATAGTGTTAAAAAATGAATACTAAAATTTTTTTTACTCTCAGAATTTAGAAGATAAAGTTGTGTTTTATGATCCACAGGTGGCAAACACAAGGCCTGTGGGCTGAATCTGGCCCTCCACCTTGTTTTATCTGGCCTGGCACCTTTTTTATACCAGGCTACCGAGATCCTTGCCCCTAGTTAAGGAGTAGTTACATTTATACAGTCCTAAAGTTACATTCAACCCTTTGAAGGCAACCACCAGCCTGATGTGGTCCCCAGTGAAAATGAGTTTGACATCCCTGTAAATCATTCCTACTTAGCACAAACTTTTTTACATAGTTGATAGTCATTAGATGTTTGATTAAGAAAGAAGGAAAAAGGCAAATTTTGTTACATATAATCAAAATTGTAAGCTTTTGAGATGCACTTACATTTATAAATTGTCTTGCGAAGAACAAACTCCTGAGAATGTATATTTATTTATTAAAGAAATATTTCCTTTTCTCTCTTTTACTCCCATCCCAGCCCATCCTCTAGCCCTCCCCTCTTCTTCCCATTTCCATTCCCCCTAGTTTTTGTCCATGTGTCCTTTATACTAGTTCCTTCAAACCCTTCCCTTTTTCCCCTGAAATTCCCTCCCCTCTCCCTTCTGGTCACTGTCAGCCTGTTCTCTATTTCAGTGTCTTTGGTTATATTTTGCTTATTTGTTTTGTTGTTTAGGTTCCTGTTAAAGGTGAGATCATATGGTATTTGTTTTTCACCAAACTGTACTTGAACAACAATTAAAATAAAATAAAATAAACCAAAAGGTGGTCTATTGTTAAAAAAACAAACAAACAAAAAAACCTTTTAAAGCTCACAAACGTGGAATTCAGATGTCAATTCACACATGAGTATGTATCAATTATTATTAAATGTAAATAAATGCACCAACATGCTTCCAAAACAAGAAATATTTCTTTTTATTTATGTCATTCTCAGTAAAGCTCCATTTTTTAATGATAACTAAATTTATTCCTAGATGTTTAACTTTCATTTGTTATATTTATATTTGAAATTATTCTTTCTGGGGCATGTGAGAAATTTTTTGTTGTGCCCTTCTCAAGTCTTATTAGTGGATTATATAAGGCATTTGGATTAAGGTTTATTTCAGAGATAGCTCGTTACAAATTTTCTTGCCTCATCTTTATGTTTTGACTGAATTAAACATTATTTCCACATTTCTTTTAAAACAGGCAATTCTTCTAGCATTGCATATAAATCAATGAAAGAAACCTTTGCATAAATAATTAATCCTCTAGTTCTCTCACCACTGATCAAGGGTAGGTCATTTTCCTGTTTAAAAAAAATTACTTTATTGTTGTTCAATTACAGTTGTCTGCATTTCCCCCCACCCCACCCCACCCCACCAATCCCACAAGGGTAGGTTATTTTCAAGATCTCTCATATTCTTTTTAAGGATGGACATAATTGGCAACTGGTGAGAGGATTCCTCTTGGCTGAGTTATGGTTGTGGGTTATTAGCTAACTCTTGTACTTACAGGGAAGGTCACTAGATTAAATTAGATTTAAAACATCTAAAGAATGGTCAGTATTCTTTCTCAAAGGCTTTCATTATTCCCCTCTCTATAACCACTGGCTCCTGTTGAGTAAAAGCAAATTGACTCGTTTGATCCTCTTCCTCCAAGTCTGATAACAGAGTGAGAAGGAAGCATGGCTTATATTTTATTGGTTTATTCTTCTCAAAACCAAGTAGGAGAGAGAGGGTGTGATTACTGTGCACTTAACTGCTTTATCATACTTGGGTGAGAATTTATTCGATGGAAGAAAACAACACTCTAGCCTGAGTGTGCAGAGTCAGTGTATACTTACTTCATATTAAGGCACATTCACACTTTAAAACTTCATTGGTCTGTGTATTTTTGTTTCCTGATGCCTCTGGAAAATTCACCACAAACTTGGTGGCTTAAAACAACAGATTTTTTTTCTGTCATGGTTGTAGATGCCAGAAGTTGAAATGATCTTTTTTCTTTTTAATATTTTGATTATACCATTACGGTTGTCCCATTTCCCCCTTCATTCCCCTCCACCCTGTACCCCCACCCCTACCATCCCTCTCCTTTAGTTTATGACCATGTGTCTCAAGTTCTTTAGATTCTATATTTCCCATTATATTCTTGCACCCTATCTATTTTCTACCTACTGTCTATGCTACTTATTTTCTGTACCTTCTCCCCCTTTCTCCTCCCACTCCACTGTTGCTAACCCTCCATGTGATCTTCATTTCTATGGTTCTGCTCCTGATCTAGCTGTCCTTTTAGTTTGTTTTTGTTTTAGGTGTGGTTCTTAATAACTGTGAGTTTGCTGGCCTTTCACTGTTTATCTTTTTTATCTTCTTTTTCTTAGATAAGTCCCTTTAACATTTCATATAATAAGGGCTTGGTGATGATGAACTTCTTGAAGTTGATGTTATCTGAGAAGCACTTTATCTGCCCTTCCATTCTAAATGAAAGCTTTGCTGGATGGAGTAATCTTGGATGTAGGTATTTGGATTTCATGACTTGGAATACTTCTTTCTATCCCCTTCTTGCCTGTAAGGTCTCTTTTGAGAAATCAACTGACAGTCTGATGGGAAGTCTTTTGTAGGTGACTATTCCCTTACCTCTTGCTGCTTCTAGGATTCTCTCCTTCATTTTAATCTTGGCTAATGTAATTACAATGGGTTTTGGTGTATCCCTGCTTGAATCCAGTTTCTCTGAGACACTCTGGACTTCCTGGACTCCCTGGAATTTTATTTCCTTTGCCAGACTAGGGAAGTTTTCCTTTATTATTTTTTCAAATAAGTTTTCCATTTCTTGTTCTTCCTCTTCTTCTGACACCTCTATGATTTGGATGTTGGAGTGTTTACAGTTGTCCCAGAGCTTTCTCACCCTCTCCTCATTTTTTGAATTCTTGTTTCTTCATTCTGTCATGGTTGAATGTTTATTTCTTCATTTTGTTTCAAATCTTTGGTTTGAGTCTCAGTTTCCTTTCCTTCACTTTTTGTTCTCTGTATATTTTCCTTTATTTCACTTTGTGTAGCCTTCATTTCTTTCTTCATTTCTGCAACTGAGCTCAATAATTTCTGTGAGCATTCTGATTACTGTATTTTGAACACAGATAGTTTGGCTATCTCCCCATTGCTTAGTTCTTTTCCTGGAGTTTTGGTTTGTTCTTTCATTTGGGCCATATTTCTTTGTCTTGGCGCACCTGTTATGTTGTAAGGCCTGGAGGCTTAAGTGTTCACCAGGGCGAGGCAACCTTCTTTGCTGTGTCGTGGCACTGTCTGTGGGGGAGGGGTCAGAGACGAAAGATGCCTCTTGCTGGCTCTGCTCTAGCCCTACTTTCTGTCACTTCCCGCACCTCCCACAAGTGGATTGTGGCCTTTCAGATGTTGATTCACAGATCAGTGGGTTTGTGTACATTCTAGGATCCTGTGGGCCTCTCCCATGGACTCTCCCATGATCCTAACAGTTTCTTCCACTGCCACAACTCCTGCAGATTTTCACATCCAGAGGTTTTTAGCCACTAGTTTCCCACACTAAAACCCTGGGTTCTGCTGTCTGCCTCTCTTCCCAGTGGTTCTTCCCAGCTTATCAGCCCACAAATGTGGGACCAACTGGTCCACCAGCCACCTCCTTGGCAATGTTTTCTCTCCACCTCAGCCCCTCCTACCAGTCTGGACAAATGTTTCTTTAACTCCTTGGTTGTTGGGCTTCTATAAAATTTGAATATCTGGCAGCTCTGGTGGTTTTTTGTTTTTAAATTTGTTGTTGTCCTTCTCTTGTTTGTGCAAAGAAATGAAGCATTTCTACCTATGTCTCCATCATGGCTGGAACTCCTGGGCTACTTTCTCCAAATCCTTGGCGTATCAGTACATGCGTAGATCCACTAATCTTTTTTTTTATTGCACTTTTTCCATTAGCATCTGTCCCCCTTATGCTCTCTTCCATCTCTACCCACCCTTCTCCTCCAATGTTGGGTGTTTTCACAGAGTTATAGTGTATAACAAAGAGCAGGACAGTTTGCACTGTACATGGTACAATCAAATTCAATGGAGATTTTGATGCAAGATCTGAAGATACATAAACCAATTTAGCTGAGGTTATGGTTATTTTGAGACAAGGAGAATACCTTTGGCTATTGTATCAAGAGACAGGCAATGATAGGAAATTGACCTGTGTTGTTTGCCATATAGTTGAGTAATATCTCCAGGGATGGCCATAATTAATATGCATACACAGAGAGAGTTTTATTATAATCAATGATCTTATGATCAGTTGTCTTGTGGAAGTGTATAGGGTCACCAATTCCCTTCAGAACTGGGAATACAGAATATAAAAACTTACTATGGTTCTATTAGGGTCACAATTGATATAATGGGAAAAATATAAATTTAAAGAATTAATAACCTAATGACTAAACTCCAGTGTCCACTCTGGCCTTTTTGAACAGAGTGAGCTGTTAAATTTAAATAGAGAAGAGAAGGGGATCTCTGTGACAGAACTTCATACCTGAAGGGCTTCATTCTAAACTCAGCAAAGAATGCTTAGATTTTCCTGCTTTTGGCCCCAGATAGGCAACAGAACAGGCAGTGATAGTAAGAAGGAATATTGCTATAACTATATAGATTAAAAGAGCTACAGAAATTAGCTCAGACAGCATTGCCTTCTGTTTATAAAGTGATTTATTTCATCTGAGGTGAAACAACAGCATATATAGGTGTGAGGATACATGATTATTACATCTTATGTTGTTTCCATAATCTATCACATGAAATATTTTAAGTAAGTACCAATAGCCATTTCCATCACAGATGCAATGAATGAACATAGCAGTTTGTTGAATCATTAGTGTTCTTTTCAACTCAAAACTGTACTGTGTTTATTTTCAGATGTAATTTTTATTATTTAAAAGTTGATGAATGCAAAAGGAAGTTTGGGTTGGGCGAGACTCTCAGCTGGTACACAGAGAAGGCTGACATGACCCGCAGCAACTGGCTGCACCAGGAAACCCTGTTTCCTGTTCTGGGGCAGCAGCAGCGCACAGCCCAGCATTTCTTCTCTTCCTGTCAGAGTCACCTCACTTTGCAGGGTCCTGAAGCTGAAGAAGCACAAGAAGATATTTATTACCCAGTGGTGGAAGAAAGCAAAGATGTTGTTCTCCAACCTTCTGAAGGTGGTCCTGGCTTCAATGTGGCTAGGTAGGCATGCCCCAGTGGGAATGGGTCTCCTCTGAGGCATAAGGGCTGAGGGTCCAGGCACTTATAAAACAAGGGAACTGTTTTATAAGTTCCCTTGGAAGGAGATGTAGCAGGATGTGAAAAAGAATTTTTTTGTCCCTCACCACATGTGCCCAAACCTTGTGATTATTTTTCCCTTCAGGATCCAGTACTGCCCAGAAGATAAGTCAAGACCAACCAGCAATGTCAGTGCAGGAGAAGGAGGCTGTGACCCTGGACTGCACATATGACACCAGGGATACAACTTACTACCTCTTCTGGTACAAGCAGCTGAGCAGTGGGGAGATGATTTTCCTTATTCGTCAGGACTCCTATAACCAGAAAAATGCCACAGAAGGTCGCTACTCACTGAATTTTCAGAAAGCAAACCGTTCCATCAACCTTGTCATCTCACCTTCACAGCTGGAGGACTCTGCAGTGTATTTCTGTGCTCTGAGTGAGCCCACAGTGAGAGGAGTGTAGGAAGGAGGTGAACCAAAACCTCAGGGCTCTGCTTGATGCATCCACCTGCTGTAGGGACCATGACTGGGAATTGTTAACACAGTCAGGAAGCAGCCAGGGCTGTGGTAGCACAGGTGTAGGTAGCGTTTGAGGGAAAACACTCTATGAAAATCCTTCTCTAGGTCCACAGATCATGTGTAGCATTATCATTCATAAAACACACCTGTATCCTTAAACACTTGGGTTGAAAATGTTTATTGAAATTAAATAACAGCCACAATATCTGTAATGAAGACATACGGAGGGCCCAGAGGCATATGAAAGGATGCTCTGATGCTCACTAGCCATCAGATAGATGCAAATTAAAACCACATTGAGATACCACTTCATACTGGTGAGAATGGCCATCATAAACAAATCAACAAACAAGTACCGGCAAAGTTGTGGAGAAAGGGAACCCTAGTGCACTGTTGGTGGGAATGCAATCTGGTGCAGCCAGTGTGGAAAAGAGTTTGGAATTTCCTCAGAGAACTAAAAATGGAATTGTCATTTGACCTAGCAATACCACTGCTGGGACAATATCCTAAAGACCCTGAAACACTAATTCAAAAGAACCTATGTACCCCAATGTTCATAGAAGCACAATTTACAAAAGCCAAGTGTTGGAAGAAACTTAAGTGCCCATCAGTAAATGGATCAAAACATCAAGGTACATTTAACCATGGTACATTTTACACAGTGGAATACTACACAACAGAAAGAAAGAGGAGCTCCTACCCTTCCTGACAGCATGGATGGGACTGGAGAGCATTAATGCTAAGTGAAGTAAGCCACATAGTGGAAGACAAATACCATAAGATCTGGCTTATAAGTGGACCCTAAATCAACAAAACAAACAAGCAAGCAAAATATAAACAGAGATATTGAAATAAAGAACAAACTGACAGTAACCAGACAGGAGAGGGGAGAGGAATAATAGGGAAAAAAGGGGAACACACTGCACTCGGCACATAAAGGACACATAGACAAAGCTGAAGGGTGTAGGTTCAAGAGTGGGAGTGGGGATGGGTGTTGCAGAGAGGCATGGTGGAGTGAAGATGGGGAAAACTGTACTAGAACAACAATAAAAAAGACCTACAACCAATATTACTCTATCCAGCAAAGTTTTCATTTATAATGGAAGGACAGATAAAGTGCTTCTCAGATAAGACCAAATTCAAGGAGTTCATCATCACCAATCCCTTATTATATGAAATGTTAAAGGGACTTATCTAAGAAAAAGAAGATAAAAAAGATGAACAGTGAAAGGACAGCAAACTCACAGTTATCAACAAGCACACCTAAAACAAAAGCAAACTAAGAGGACAGCTACATTAGGATTGAACCATAGAAATGAAGATCTCATGGAGGGTTAGCAACAGGGGAGTGGGAGAAGGAGAAGGGGGGAGAAGGTACAGAAAATAAGTAGCATAGACAGTGGATAGAAAATAGATAGGGGGGAGGGTAAGAATAGTATGGGAAATATAGAATCTAAAGAACTTGAGACACGTGGTCATGAACTAAAGGGGGGGGAAATGGTGGGGGAGGGATGTGCAGGGTGGAGGGGAATGGGGGGAATAAAACAAATGTAATGGCATAATCAATAAAAAATAACTCTAAAAATATAGTCAATAATATTGTATTACTTTGTTTAGTATTAGAAGGGTACAAGATTATTCAGGATGATTACTGAGTAAGTTAAATGTCTAATCATAAGGTTATCCTTAAAACAAATATATTTGTATGTCAGCTGTAATTTAAAAATAAACTTTAAAAATGATATTAAAAAAGAGAAAAATCTTCAGTTTATAACTTAATATATTGGGAATATTAACCACTACAGTCTTGAATTGTTTGTATACACACTTTTGGAGAGATGACTGTGCTGTGTCACTGGGCCACTGTGGATGCAGTTTGATGTTAAGATGAGTGACAGACCACAGAGGTGATTGGTGTTCAGTGAGTCTGGTGGGGCATATTGACTGAAGGAAGAAACTTTGCTTGGGTCCAGGAGGCTACATCCACCAGAGCAGGGGCAGAGGCAGCACAGTGTGTGTGCAATAAGTCATGAAGAAACACCTTGGGGCTCTCCTGTGGCTTCTGTGGGTCCAGGTTTGCTGTGAGTTGGGGGCCTCCCAGGTGGGGACTGGGGTTGTCTGCAGTGTTGTGGGAAAATAAAGGGGGATCTGATACAGATCTTCCTTAGATGGTCCCACTTGGGTGTTTCTTCAGGTGTTTTAGAAGTATAGAAACTGTATCATTTGTTCCAGTGATAACATTTGTATTTTTCTCTTTCCAAGGAGGGGTGAGAGGGCTGAAGGTGGAGCAGGGTCCTCCAGCCCTGAGTCTGCAGGAGGGAACCAACTGTACTCTGAGATGCAATTTTTCTACCACAGTGTACCAAGTGCAGTGGTTCAGACAGAATCCTGGTGGTGGACTCATGAATCTACTTGGGTTGACTTCAGAGTCAAAGAAGGTTGGAAGATTAAGCTCCTCACTGCAATCTAAGGACCTGTACAGTACACTGCACATCACAACCTCCCAGCTGGAAGACTCAGCCTCTTACTTCTGTGCATCAGAGGCACAGTACTCCCAGGTGATCTGCAGCCTGCACCCAAACATCAGCTGGGCCTGCAGCTGCACCCCTTCCACAGGGCAGGCATGTTGAGCCCATATTAGCCTTGCACATCTTTGGGTTTTCAAATGTATGTTCCAAAATGTATTTTTGTCCTAAAATTAGACTCTTCAGCACTGTTATCTCACTCCTTTTGCCTTATTTCTTCCCTTAAGTCAATTTACAGCTACAAAGCTCTAATGTAAAACAATTAAAATAGGTGATAAAAGTGTTAACATATATTTCCTTTAAAACATATCCCCTTGCAAATTATACATATATGACATGTAAAAGGTTTGGAAAAATATAGTGCAGTCAACAAGTTAAAGGCGATGACTAATTTTTCTCAGGTAACTGCAAGTGGTTATACTTCCAAGGAAAAGGAAGAGAGGCTGCATAATAGTTTTTAATGTTTGTATTAGGCTTATTCACTCCAGGATATAACAAACATAAGAAAAATAATTCTATTGAGTCACAGGCACTTCCGCTTTTTACACATATTATATATTTAGTACTGATAAGACCCTGTAAATAGGTACTCTCTCATTTTATGCCTGGATAAAGTGAGGGATGTTGGGTAGAGGTGACTTGCTTAAATTAACATTATTAGTAAATTGGTACAGTTGGGGTGACATGAAAGCTTATATTTTGAGGTATGTGATATAGAAATCTTTAAAATCATCTAATTCGAATGATTTCTATTGATAAATTTGTATAACGTGCTTATATACATCATTAACAATATCAATTGAGGTAATTAAAAATGATTTTATTGAGGTAATATTAGTTAATAACATCCTCTAAGTTTCAGGTGTACAATTTTATAATACATCACCTGTATATTGCATTGTATGCCCACCTCCAAAAGTGTAGTGTCCCTTAGTCATCGTTTAATTGGCACCCTGTTTACATTCTTTAATATCCTCTGAACCTCATTTCCCTCTGGTCACTGCCATATTTTGTGTATCTCTGTGAGTTTTTTTTAGTTCACTTGTTGTTTTCTGTTTTACGTCCTATGTAGGAGTGAAGTCATGCGATTTTTTGTCTGACTCATTTTTCTGTCTGACTCATCCTTTTCTGTCTGACTCATTTCATTTAGCATTACACTCTCAAGAAGCATCCACATCTAGAGAAATGCCTGCATTTCATCTTTTCTAATGGCTGAATAGTATTCCATTGTATATAGGTACCAAACACTTTTATCTAATCATCTATTGAAGAACCTAAGGTTTTTGCCATGTCTTGGCTGTTGTGAATAATGCAGAGTTGATCTTAGGTGCACATACATCTTTATAAATTAGTGCTTTCAAATTTTTTAGATATATACTCAGATGATGGATTGCTAGATCCTACTGTAGCTCTATTCCAATTCTCTGAGGAACACTCATAGTTTTCCATAGAGGCTACATCAATGTACACTGCTGCCAGCAGTGTATGAGGATTACATTCAGGGTCTTCCTAGATTGCACCTTGCATGGAAGAGCTCTTGAAATTTTTCATTCTGTTCCATTAAATACCTTTGCTCTTCCTTCCATCTTGAGCAAATTTGTTACTTATGATATTGTAACATATTCACATGTGGGAAAGGGAGCAGAAAGCTTCCAGGACTACCCTGAAAACACCCTCATCTGCTGTAGCCAGAGAGAAAGACTTTTGGCCACCAAACCTAAAGTTTCAACTTGCATGTGGAACAATTGAATTCTAAGCTGCACTGTCTTTATTATAATATAAGGACACTGATAGAAGGATAGAACCCTAAAAATTAAGGCGAAGACAAATGGAGAGACCCCAGTAAAACTGGGAGCAGATCCAGCTTCCTGGGCATGTGACCTGTGCAGTTGCAGAAGGAATCCTGGTCTTGGTTTAATATTCTGTCATCACTTTCTTGAAATTCTTAATAATTTTCTCTTTGCACTTGTATTGTATAAGGGAAGTTCCATAAGTGGATCCAACATGTACATGAGTCTTGCAGATACATGGGGCAGCAGGACAAAGGAGAGAAGCACATGCAGGCTCAGGGTCATGGTCCCAGCAGGGAGTGTGTGAGCTAAGCAGGTGTGAGGACCACCTGTTGTGCTGGTGCATGCTTTCCCTCTCTGGGGCTTAGACATGCAGCAAAGGGGAGCAGGGAACTTTCTTGGTCAACTGTTACAGAATGGAATGGAAATACATGTATGGGATATTTCAATAAGGTGGTTTGACAGTTTTTTACTATACATACTCTTACCATATAATCCAGTAACCGTGGTCCTGGGATTTTACCCAAAGGAGTCAAAAAGTTATGTCCACACAAAAACTTGCCCACAGGTGTTTATAGCAACTTTATTCTAAGTTAAAACTTGGAAGCTTCCAAAATGTCCATCAGTAGGTGGATGGTTAAATGGTGGTCTATCCCAACAATGTGTTAATATTTAGTACTGAAAAGAAATAAGCTGTCAAGCTATGAAATAAAAAAGAAAAGTTAAATGT